ACTGGTGGACCTACATGAGGTCTGCCTCCGCTCCGTTTTTTTGTCCATCTAGTGTCATACCTTCCCCTGTAGCAGCTTCATGTCTCCCTTCCTTCCAGGTCCTTCTTCGCTTTGGCTCCCTCGAGTCCTCCCCTCCTCTGGACTAACTAAGTTCCCTTCCTTTATAGAGCTAGTTTCAGTGTGTGTAGGGTCCTTCCAGTCCTGCCTATTAGTATCCTGTCCATCTAACATCCCCACCTCAGTACTGGAGAACCCTTACACCAACCACTTTGTACCCCCTGTTGGACTGGTCTTCATCCCGGTCCCCGCCCTAAGGTCCACTCCATAGTTTTTAGGCTTAAATATGTCTTTAGTCCCTGCAAATATGACATACTTTGTTTTAGGTCCCTGCAAAAATAATTTTTTGTTTTACATCCTTGTAATATGCACTATTTTGTTTTTAGTCCATGTGTAACTCCGAAATCACTCTACTCAGAATAAAAGTTATTGTCGATTGCATAAATCTACTAGAAACATTTAAATTTATCCTTTTATACCATTTTTAGGCTAATATGAGAGTTAAAACAATGCAAAACTAATTATTCACATTTTAAAATTTTGTATTAAATACCTTCGAAAAAATAAAATTAAATACTTTTTGAATAAAACGATGAAGAATTAGAGGAAACTTATAAGTCGGTGTTATTTCGAGGTCAAACGGAGGTTGTTATCATCACTGATGGACTAAAAAGAAAACCAACATAAATGTTAGGGATGAAAAACAAAAAACTAATTTTGCGGGGACGTAAAACAAAATGTGCTATAATTGCAGGGAGTAGTAACATATTTAAACCTACTTTTTATCAAAAGTGATATTCTCTCCTTCATAAACTACCAGGCAAAACTTATCCGAATGCCCAATAATACCACAAACAAAACAAAAATTTGGGAGTTTCTCATATTTGAAGTCCACCCATTGACTAAAACTCACCTTTTTCAACATAGTACCTTTTTTCAAGGGTCTCCTAACATTCATACGAACCCTAATTCTCAAATATGATTTCCAATTTTCATCAGATTTTTTATCATCAAAGCTAATAAATTTTCAAATATAATTACCAATACGTCTAGCAGACCCCAAATTCATAAAGCCATAAGCAGCATTGTGCACTCGCACCCAAAAATCAGCCTCATAAAGTTTGATTTACAAAGGAATATCCTCTGCCTGAATCTCTTTTAACAGCAATAAATACTGTTTAAATAACCATGGTCCTTCATCTAGAACACGCCTCATATCTAATATGTGATAAAAGGTAAAGAGATACCTTTTTCGCCGATTTCCATGATTGAAACACCTTTGACCGGTCTCCACAGCGAGGCCATCAATTCTTTGAAAAACTTAAATTTGATTTTACGATATGTCATAATGAGGCCTACCACTAGAAAAATTGCCGAGCTCTTGCTTGATTCCTCCTCCTCTTCTTCCTCATCGAAAATTACCTCCTCCATATCAGCCCCAATAACCATTCGTTTATACTGATGAACTACGTCTTCCATCGAAATCTTCTTCCCTGTTATCGCCGGACCCCACGACCAGCAACAAATGCCGAAGTAACAGCAGCCACTCGCTCAACTCCACCGAAGAACGGAAGCGAACTTCCGTTGATGAAGCTCGCTGAGAAAACCAAAGCGTCCGTCCTTCGAATAGTCGAAGACGGTGGCGAGCTCTAGCGACTTCGGTGCCTTAGAGAGAGAATTTCATTTTCAATACTCTGTATATTATCAAGCCTTTTTAAAAGGCTTTAAAAAGTCCAAGTAATAAAGTAAAAGGAAATCTTTTAAAATAGGAGTAAAAATGTTTTGAAATTATCATTGTTATATTTTTATTTCCTATATAAAGTAATCAGGGTTATAAAATATGGTCATATTTAAAATTCTGGTAATGCTAAGAGCCCGCTTGATAATAATAAAAATCAGTTGAGTCCGCTATTTCTGCTCAAATTTATGAAGTTTGGACTAGATTGACTGATTTTGCTGATTTATGCAAAACATATACCAAAAATATATTTTATTAGTAAAATAAAGAAAAAATTATAAGAAAAAACTAAAATGGTCATCTATAGTAACATCAGCCAATATAGTCATAAAATTAACTATAATCTTACTTTTTTTTTATACAATTCAGTGCGTGAAATTGAAAGTTACGTGTTTGGTGAAAAAGTTACTCAATAAACGAGATTAGCCGAAAAAAATAGTACCAAACAAATAGTTACTTCGGCAACGTCATTGATGATCAAATTCAAATAATTTGTATTTGGTTATACCTAAATCAGAAAGAAATTATCATTTACTTAAATGTTGATACCTTCCCCAGACAATTACGTAGTCATTGGTAAAAGTGAACACTCACGCAACGTTTATTTTTTCTCTTAATGTTCGTTTTTTCACAATAAAATCATTTATGTTGTAGGGAGAATTGTTCGTAGAATTTCATTACCGAATGCCCCTATAAATAGGGATAGAGTAGGGTTTACAAGTACGGGCCAATAGGCCCAGATTACATAGTTTACATTGAAATGACCCTAATACATATTCTATATAAACGATAGCACACTACATAGAATTTCCTTCAACACTCCCCCTTGTGCTGAGTTGAATAGAATTTGGTATCTGTGTTGTTGTCTCGTCAAAACCTCTGTCAAGTAACAAAAACCCTGTGGGAAAAAATAACCTTGACTGGAAAAAAGAGTATAGCATCACGATAGACTTCTTCCATTAAGTCTGTGTTTATTTGATCCTTGCTTTGATCAATAAAGCGTATATGTATTGTTACCTCATTAAAAACCTTACCAAGTAACAAAACCCGATGGGAAAAATAAAATTTGGTTATAGGAAAAGAGTGTAACGTAATGTAGATGGGGAACTCCCCCTCAAGTCTACACATATCCTTAATAGTTACATTAATCAAGGATGTTTGGAAAGTTCATGCATTCCAATACTTGTCACATTTCTTACCTTAGCGAAGGCACACAAATAGAGGAATATAATTCCTTTAGTTCTCCCCCTGTGTGCCGAGTGTAAGGTGATTAATGTAAAAATTATTAACTTGTTAAATCTGTTGCCAATGAACAAAACCCAATGAGAAAAATAAACATCGGTCAAAGGAAAAATATGATGCACTAATAAGCACGCGTCAATTACTTTTGACTGCGATATATTAATTATGTTCTTCCTTCAACATAGTTTTACCTTTGCAAAATTAAAGTGTGGGATGGTGCATATTGTGTTGGCTAAAAAAAAAACTTTACCAAGTAACAAAACCCGATGGGAAAAAATAAACATTGGTCGAAGGAAAAAGAGTACAACGCACCATTATAATTGATGATAAATAAGTGTGTAAGTACTCCTCCTGAGTGCAACACACATCAATAAGAATCTAACATTTACTTGATATATACTTTTATCAAGGTATTCTGTATATAACATCATGGTCTCTTTCATGATAAATATATATTCAATAAAATATCAATGAGGTAAGGGGATACCCATCATCAGTAAAACTCAAATCACGTTACTTTGTGTTAGAGTAATACTTTTGATATTTTCAATTCCTTTAGAAATATTGTTATCATCAATCATTTAATTCAATTTATAAGGGATGAATAACGATTACTCCAATGGTTTCATATAGATATCAAGGCACATTCTTGATACCATTTCAATGACGATATACGATGTGTTGGTCCTGAGCTATTTTTAGCTAACACGTTATTGAGAATGTAATATTTGGTCGAATGTGTTGGTCAAAGTACAATCATGCGCATATTGCACTTACATAGGGAACTTTTCTAGTATCCATATTTCGACCAATCATGGGAGTGCTAACAGTTTACATTTATCCATGTCAATTTTGCCTGAGAACCCTTTTGGATATATGCAACTGGTGAATTAGTATTCAACCAACTCGGTGTTTAATTTCAAAACAGAACCAAGTTTCCCAAGATCTTTTATCTCAATTATGATTTTCAAGTATCTAACATGTCTCATGTTCCATTATGAGTACATATTATGTCTATATCATGGAGATACAGTGATATTTGGAAACAAAACTTATTTCCATTATAAATGCGCTAGGCATAATATATTCATTTTGCATCCCTTTTCAGTCAAGTGGTCACTTAGACGGGTATGTCACTCCCGTCTGGATTGATTTAATCCAAATGCGAATGTATATAATGTTATTAAAAACCACTTGATAAAAACATAAGTGCTTCATAAAAACATAATTGCTCTTAAGTAAGTTTTATAGGTGAAAATAAAAACTAGTTTCGATTAGTAAATGGATGCATCACATTATTTTTAAAACAAAAACATGATAAATTGATAACCCTATGATAATATGTAGAACTTTTCACGGAGTTGCTAAAATAGTTAATATGACTCCCAGATTAAAAAAGAAAGTGACAATATTTAATATTTTTTAAAGAAATAATTACATATTTATGACTAAAATGAAGATTATTTACAAAAATGTGATTAATGACTAAAATAGTAATAAAATTATAGTAACTTATGTTCAATATTTAAATTTAAGTTACCATAACACTACATTTATAGTAACTAATATGTAGTCCGTAGTAACTAATAGTCATATTTATATAAATAAATTGATAACGCTATGATAATATGTAGAACTTTTCACGGAGTTGCTAAAATAGTTAAAAGGAGAAAGTGACGGTATTTAATATTTTTTAAAACAAAAAAATAATAAAATTATAAAAGATAAGTGAATATTTAAGAGATGGAGGTGTCTTCCGTTTGCAGGAATAGAGGAATAATAAATACCAATTAATTACTGAAAAAATTAAATTTTGGTAATAAAAAAAGAAAGCTGTAAAATTAAAAAGGAAGCAGTAATATTCAAACTTAAGTATACCTTTTCTACCAATTTTGATGGAATCAAAGTAACTTTATCAAGACTTTACATGCTGAAATTGACCACTCCTTAGGTAAAAAAAGTCCCTTCACTGTATAACTTTTTTACCGTCTATTAGATGCCTCCAACCTGTGTTCCACTCCAATTAATGGTTTGGCTCTGTGGGCTCTGATCTTCTCAGCGGTCACCCATTCTAATCATACGAGGCTCCCAAAGAACTCCGCCGCCTCAACGCCCTAGCCGCCGCCAACACTCCACCGCCGTAATGGAACATATTCCTTTTCCCCTCTCTGCTCCTCTACTTTTACAACTTACTCTGCTTTTCTCAGGTATATACTCTGTTTCTATGACATCGTTTCTCTTTATATTATTACATAATAATGGGAATTCATTCAATTATATTCTGTAGTGATATTCTGCCCGGCGAGGGTGATTTGCATTGGAGTCAACTACGGGCAGATTGCGAACAACCTGCCGGCGCCGGAAAATGCAGTTCAGCTAGTAAAGTGCATCGGAGCAACAAAAGTCAAGCTTTACGATGCAGATCCGAAAGTGCTCACTGCTTTTGCCCACACTTCCGTGGAGCTGATAGTCAGCATCGGCAATGAACACCTGCCGGAGATGTCGGACTGTGATAAAGCCAGAGCCTGGGTGTTGCAAAATGTGAGCCCATATCTGCCGGCGACAAAAATTACCAGTATCATAGTCGGAAACGAAGCTCTAACCACCGGCAACGCCAGTCTCCTCTTTCCGGCAATGAAGAACGTTTACGACGCGCTCTTAAAACTGAATCTCCAAAACCAGATCCAAGTCACCACCGCCCACTCCCTCGCCGTGCTGGATGAGTCGTACCCGCCGTCGGCCGGGACGTTCAAGTCAAACCTAACCCACTACATTTGCGAAATCCTCGAATTCAGTAATATAACCGGGGCTCCGGTTCTCATCAACGCCTACCCGTATTTCGCTTACCAGGCCGACCCGGCAAATGTGCGGCTCGAATACGCGCTGTTCCAGCCGAATCCAGGGACGAACGACGCCGGAAACAGAAATGTCCACTACGACAACCTCCTCTTTGCCCAGATTGACGCCGTCTACGCGGCGGCGGCGAAAATGGGGTACCCTAACGTGTGCGTGCAGGTGTCGGAGACGGGTTGGCCGTCGAAGGGGGGCCCCACCGAGGCAGCCGCGACGAAGCAGAACGCCATGACCTACAATCGGAACCTCCTGAATCTCGCTGCAAACAGGGGGAGGACTCCATTGAGTCCGGGGAGGTGTAATTTGGAAGTTTCCGTGTTTGCGTTGTTCAATGAGAACCAGAAGCCCGGCCCGCTCTCGGAGCAGAACTACGGACTATTCAACGCCGACGGATCGCCGGCGTATCAGATTGGATCTTCCGCCTGCGGAAACACGAATAGGTCAATCGGTTCTGGACCTGTCTCTGGTATTTATCCGCCGACGACTTTATCTCCGATGGCAGGGAGCCCCGGGAACGTCTATCCACCGATTTCTGCCGACGCGGTGAGTAATAATAATAATCCCATGAATTTACTAGATTTTGTTTCTTAATTTATTACTTCATCCACATTATTACGGGTCACAGAGTTTTGATTCATTTTTAAAGCAGAATAAAAATCAATTTTCGGAAGTCAGTCTCTGGGGTGTTTGGAACTGATTCTGCTTCTGCTTCTTTTTTAAAAGCAGAAGCAGAATCAGAATCAGTTTTCAGAAGCTGGTACCCCCCAGCTTCTAAAAAAACTGATTCTGAGAGTAAATTAGAGCTTCAGAAGTGCTTCTGGAATTTCACCCAAACACTCCAGCTTCTGCTTCTGCTCCTTGAAGGAGCAGAAGCAGTTTTGAGAATCAGATCCAAACACCCCCTCTTTCAGCTTCTAAAAGAAACTGATTCTAAGAAAATTAGAGCAAGAGAATCACTTTTTCACTTTCACTTAAAGACTAGAAATTTTGCTAATAGGTCTAACTTGACTAACTACAACAATAAAGTTATATAGGGAGTATGATAAATAATTAGGAAAATGGAAACTAATAATCCAACCTTTCAGCAGTCTTCTTATATCGCCGAAAGGTTAGATTATTAGTTTCCATTTTCCCTAAATAATTGACATAAAATTAATTTAGGAGACTAAATCATCATGTAGCATTAACAAATTGTTTAAAATATGATTAAAATATGAATAAAATTCTAAAATAGGATTAAATTTTTTTTTTGAAAAACAGAAATTATTTAGAGTCAATTCTCTAAATAGGACTAAAAAGTGGCAAAATTGCACAAATATGACTACATTTTTTAAATTCCCTTAATAGGACTATTTATGTGTGTTTGGACAAATATACCCTTGTAACTTGTAAAATGTTTTAATTAATAATAAAATCATAAAAAAATTTATAAAAATAAAAAAAAATACTAAAAATCGTAAAAAAATAAAAGAAAATTAATAAAAAATATTTTTAAAAAAAATAAAAAAAATATTTTTAAAAAAAAAATAAAAAAATTAAAAAAAATCATAAAATTAAAAAAAAAAACATTACCACCCCTGCCACCCCCAGCACCACCAACTCCCATCACCGGAGAAAAATATGCCAACATTTTAAATAATGCCATAATGATGGCATATTCAATGAAAATGTTGGCATATTGAAGAGTAATTATGCCATCTTTTTGGCATTTTCAGAAAAATATGGCATTTTTTTACCAAAAGTGGAAGAAATTTCACCAATCGGAGGTGGTGGTGCTGGGAGGCGGCGGGAGGCGGTGGGGCTTACGTGTTGGGTTCAGGCTCCCGTGAAACGGGAGGGCGGACCAGGGTCAGCATCGCTGCATCCAGGGCTCTCACACCATCAGCTCCTCGCCAGATTCCGCGGGGGGACGAGACCCCAAGGGTCAACACCGTTGGACGACGTTTCCAACGGCGAGGTGCACAGATCTTCAGGCGGCCGCACGATGTTGTGGCCGCTCAGCAGAATGCCACCCCCGAAGCCGCGCCCCCTGTGTCCCCCGGAAGGGCCGCACAGGACGCACGGCTGGAAGCCATGGAGAGGCAAATAGCCGAGATGAACAGGCGGGCGGACGCCGGCTCGGCCACACCCTCGTTCTCTCTCACATCACCTTTTACCCCACGGGTGATGAGCGTCGAGATTCCCCGGGATTGCAGACCCCCGGGGAACTTGGTGTATAATGGGGCTGGTGATCCTAAGGCCCATCTGATAAGCTACCAAGGGAACCTGTCCATGCTGGGAGCATCGGACGAGGCCATCTGCAGATTGTTCTTCAGCACCCTCAGGGGGCCGGCTCAGGAATGGTTCGGCCAGTTGAGGCCAGGCACCATTGACTCATACGAACAGCTTTCCCGGCAGTTCATGGCACAATTTGCTGCCAGCACCACCCCCAGGAAGGATGTCACGGCTCTTGCCCACATCAAGCAAGGGCGCGACGAACCGCTGGCTAGATTCCTTGTGAGGTGGAGGGACGAGGTACTGCAGGTCGACGATCTGGACGAACGTCTGGCCACCAATATGTTCACTAGTGCGCTGGCCACAGGGGATCTGTACCGGGACCTGAGGAGGAATCCCGGCACCAGCTACACCGAGGTTCTTGCTCGGGCCCAGAAGTATGCCTCCATTGAGGAGGAGATCAGGCAGCGGGACGGAATTCCCGCGGTCCAGCCACGGAAGATGGCAGACAGACTCGGACCCGGACCAGGAACCAACCCCTCCCCCCCAAACAAAAAGAAGAGGGTGGACGGGGCAATGGTCCCTTGGAAGGCTCCGTCCGGAGACAGCCAAGCGCGGCCGGACGACCGTTATTTTCCCTTGGCCTACCCAGTGAGCCAGATCTTCGAGGCCATTAAGGACAAGGGCCTCCTTATGGAGCCTCAAGATATGAAGAGGTATATGGGGCACGACCAATCGGCCTACTGTGAATACCATCAGAGGACCGGCCACCTGACGGATAATTGCAGCCAATTAAAGAAAGCAATCAACGAGCTGATCCGTCAGGGGTACCTGGGCGAGTTCGCCCAGCTGCTGAACAAAAACAGCCAGCAGAAGCCGAACTCAAGGCACAAAACATGGCGCCGCGACGATCGGCGCGAGGCAGAACCTCAGGACGTGGATTATCGAAGTACAGATAAACGTCCGGAGGGATCCCTCGGCCCGAAGGGCGAGAAAAAGAAGTTGGAGATCAAGGTGATCTTCGGGGGCGCTGAGACAGGGGATACACCCGCCGAGCGGAAAAAATTTGAGAGATCACTCTATGTGGGTTCCGTATCGGCACCCCCCACCAAGCGCAATAGAGTCGAGGCAGTTACCTTCGGCCCCGCTGACCTGCCAATGTCACCGGCGCCGCACAGAGACGAGCTGGTGATCAGCATGGACGTGAACGATGCTATCGTCCGTCGCGTCCTCGTTGATACCGGAAGCAGTGTGAACGTCCTCTACTGGGAGGCTTTCGAAGGAATGAGGCTCCGGAAGGACATGCTGCACCCCCTACGCACCCCGCTGTCCGGCTTCACCGGGGACTGCATTGACGCTGAAGGCACCATCGTTTTACCGGTAGAGGTCGGCGACGGCCCTCACACTGCCCGGATCAGCATGACGTTCGTCGTGGTCCGCTTGAAGTGCGCCCACAACGCCATTTTGGGCCGACCCGGCTTGGAAGACTTGGGGGCCATATGCTCCGTACGACATTCATGCATCAAGTTCCCCACCGACACTGGAGTGGGGGTGGCACGTACGGACCCACATATGGCCAGGGCCTGCTACACGAAGGCCATGGAGAAGCTCAACGAGCGGGAGGCTCGGGTCAACAGCATCTCCGAAAAGGCCAAACAGGCCGACTTGGACGCCCATCTGGAACCAGCAACTCTGCTGGAGGAAATCGAGCTCGACGACCCGACGGACAGGAAGGTGTCCATCGGTGCAGATCTAGAGCCGGAAATCAGGGCGGGGGTCATAGCTGTCCTGCGGAGGTTCCAAGTCCTGTTCGCCAGAGGGCCGGAGGACATGCCGGGCATCGACCCCAACCTCATATGCCACAGACTCGCCGTGCGGCCGGACGTGAAGCCTGTGCAGCAAAAGAAAAGATACATGGCGGCCGACCGACGCGATTTCATCAGGAAGGAGACGGCAACTCTCCTCAGCATTCAACACATCCGGCCGGTCATCCACGTGGAGTGGCTGGCCAACGTGGTACTAGCCCCGAAGGGCAACACTTGGCGGATGTGCGTCGATTACTCGGACCTCAACAAAGCTTGTCCGATGGACCCTTATCCTGTACCGAGGATCGACTTGCTGGTGGATGAGACGGCGGGCTGCGAGCTGCTCAGCTTCATGGACGCATTCAGGGGCTACCATCAGGTGTTCATGCATCCCGATGATGCCGAAAAAACGGCGTTCGTCACGGCGGACGGCGTGTATTGCTACATCGTCATGCCATTCGGCCTGAGGAACGCCATGGCTACTTTCCAGAGGATGATTGGGATGTTATTCAAAGACGTGCTTGGAAAGACGATGGAAGCTTATGTGGATGACATCCTAATCAAAAGCAAGAAAAAGGAGGACCATGTCCAGGACATGGAGAGGGTCTTCAGCATCATGGAGAGGGCCAGCATGAGGCTCAATCCGAAAAAGTGTGCCTTCGCCGTCAAGGGCGGCAAATTCCTCGGCTACATGATGAGCGAGCGGGGGATCGAGCCTAACCCGGAGAAGGTGAAGGCAATTATGGACATGGAGGCCCCAAAGAACCTAAAAGACGTGCAGCGACTCACCGGGCGTCTGGCGGCCCTGAGCAGATTCTTATCCAAGCTCGCCGATAAGGCGATCCCTTTCTTCCAGATCATGAAGAAGGCCAATCCCTTCCAATGGACCCCGGAGTGTCAGGCTGCTTTCGAGGATTTCAAGGCATATCTCTCCTCTCCGCTCGTCCTCACCAAGGCGGATCCCGGAGAGAGATTGTATATGTATTTGGCGGTGGCCGAGCTGGCCGTAAGCGCCGTGCTGCTAAAGGAATCCGAAGGCATTCAGCGACCAATATACTTTGTAAGTAAGGCGCTGAACGGCCCCGAGACAAGGTACACGCTGATGGAAAAGACGATCCTCGCCTTGATTGCATCCATCAAGCGCCTGGCGCCGTATTTCCAGGCACATCCGGTGACTATCTACACAACTCAGCCCCTCGCCACAGTCCTCAGGAACCCAATGGCAAGCGGAAGGATAACCAAGTGGTCCTTGATGATCGGCCAGTATGACGTGGACTTCAAGCCGAGGCCGACGATCAAAGGGCAGGCTCTGGCGGACTTCATTGCGGAGTGCACCGCGCGCACCGAGGACAGAAACCATGACAACAATGACTTTGACGATTGGTGGGAGATGTACACCGATGGGGCCTCGAGTGCGCGGGGCTGCGGCGGAGGAGCAGTGATCACTTCCCCCGAAGGTTTCAAGGCCTATTACTCTATGAAATTCGAGTTCAAGGTCACCAACAACGAGGCTGAATACGAGGCGCTGA